ATGCCAACTCTTGATGGAAGCTTGTCCATTTCTTCTTCTCCATTTGTATCCCATATTCTTTCACCCTTGTCATTTTGAAACTCAACGCTTCCACTGTCGAAGCAATCAAGCTTCCTTTCATAGTTCTCCGGTAAAATATATTTGACTGCATGCTTATTACAATCATCGAAAAAGTCCGCGGCAACCATAAGAGGTTTCCAACGTGTGCGCGGCCAGTGATATTGTTAGCCTTTGCCCAAAAAAAAAAAAAAAAAAAAAAGGGATGTACGAACCAGAGTTTGTTCGCTTGCGTCATACACACCAAATAGACTTGTCTTTCATAGTCAAAATTGAAAATTGTAGTGACCAAATATAGACATTTGCTGCAATTAGGGAAGCAGATCTCCAGCGTTCTTTACATAGGCGTATGCCGATAGTTGATGGGATGGCCCACCGTTTCCGGTGGGATGGAGGGGTAAACGGAGGTTGTGCAGAAATTTCCCGAATACCGGAGTTCATGTGCTTCGGTTGGTAGGGAAGTAAGCTATTGCCTCAAACTCTATCTCCGCAATCTCCCTTTTTACTCCACATTACCTTCGTCCACCAATCTCATTTGGCTCTGAGGCTTGTCTCTTGGTATTCCTGAAGCCCACCTTAGGACTAGAGGGTATGTTAGCTCAAGTAAGTACAACGTCTCTCCATCCGTTGTCTCAATTAACACCAGCAGCCGCACAGGACAACTGATTTTAGATTCAAGTGATGCGATTTTGTGCAACACAAATATCACCCCTATTTCCACAGCACACCTCAAGCTCATCAATGAGCATGTCCCATAATGTGATGCGCGAAGGAACACTCTTGTTAGCTGGCTTTGTTACGGCACCCCTGGGTTGTTCTTGTAGCATCTGTCACGATGCGGATTGAGAGCGAAAGCTCGTGACAAGCGTGGAGGAAGTGTGGCAACATTGTAGGCTCTGAACTTGCTTCCGCTTCTTCGCGTCGTCACTGCCCCTCCTGGTGAAGTTGACTCTCATTTTCCACCAGCGCTTTCAAGCTTGCCTCCGCTTCTTCATGTCGTTGATGCTCCGCCTAGAGAAAGTTGTGTTTCTCTTTTTCCGCCTGCGTTTCGGCAATTCCTCGCAATGTTCTCTCTCTTTTAAGTTCAGCCGGTAGCTCTTGTGCTCAGCTCTAGCTGGAGGCTGCAGTTCCAGCCAGTTCACAGTGCTGTGACCAATTCCACAAGAATCCAGCCACAGCTTAACTGCTTGAGCTAGCGAAAACTTAAGTCCTATGATAATTGCTGGAAGCGCTTAAAGAACAGGATAGTTGCTCCGTAGAGCACACATATTTTGTGGGGAGGATGGTGCAAGGGGAGTAAACATACAAAGTCACATGACACGAGCTGTGTATTTTTTTGTGGGATGGTTGGTCTTCCATTGGTGGGAGGACTGGCCAGCTAACTGATATACGCGTACATCACGTGAGGTGGTGCGGCTACCAAAAGGCAGCCCTCTCTCGTAACTTACCGCTTAGTGGTTAGCCCGACGAGGCAATCCCAGCGGAAATCCTGTTATTTTAAGTGTATGCATGTGATCAAGATGATCATTACATGAAGAAAGAATCTCGGAGACGGAGGATAGGGTGATCTTTTGATTATATAGTTTCTCAAACCAAAGTCTTAAGTAAGGCCTTGTTGCGGAGGCTGGATTTTGCAATTAATGACTGCGTAGAGCTATCTTTTGATTGACTGAAATCGCGGTTCTGCATAGCATTTTGACTTGGTATAACGAATTATATAGAAATCTAATGAATAGTTAACGAATTTCGCGGTATAGAGGTTTAACGAATTTTGTTCGTTACTTAGAGGTTCGTTATAACGAGGTTTACTGTATGCGTTGGTGGGAGATAGAGAAAAATAAGATCAACTGGTTCAGACACTCAAAGAACATATATGAGATTCATGATAGATGAAATCAGCTGGTGTTGGAACGATTTATGACGAGCAACTATTATATGTAGTTACCTAGTTTAAGTTACCGAGGACGCTGACTCACTAGTTTTTTCAGTTAGTTACCACCTAGAACTAAACCAGAGCTCTCCCACGATCTCTTGCACATCTCGTTGCTGGGGCATCTAGCCATTTTACGGTGCAGAATTGGGCTGGATTTCGCCAGAAACATTACAAAGCTAATTAATTCCCAAATCGCATACTGGTCCTCTTTAGTATTTCTGTCTTTCTGCTGCAACGTCATGTTTCTCACCCGTTCTGTGCCGTCTAAAGCTCTGCGGGCCGTTGGCCATGCGCAACCAACCACCATCTCTACTGCACATACGACCTTCCCACAATGCCTTAGACAGCAATTAAGACGGTTTGGAGCTACTTCGCGGTGTATGGAAGAAAAACTCTCTTTCAAGGCACAGCTATATGAGAGCACGCAGCAGCGGTTAATCAGAGAGCGGGCGGAGCAAGCTCGATATGCCAAGGCCCAGCACGAGACTCCGGCCGTTCGTACTATTGCGATGACAGTTGGTGTGTAGTGATGATTACTATATTAGTTTTGACAGTTTTTGGCCAATTGACAGCTTGATAGTGCTTGTTTCCGCGTCTCTGGGGTGCTACTATCTCGGGTCTTTGAAACCCGCACAATACCCTTCTAACTCGACGACTCCCCTAAGTAACACCCATCCTCCCTGCTACAATATCTCCCCCTCGAATCTCCAGGCGGCCTGGGCAGATTTTGTCGAGATTGTCGGAAAAGAAAACGTATCTACTGCGAAAGACGATGTGGTGGCTCATGCAGGATCAGAATGGTCTTCGTACGCCCGGAAGGAAAACGAGAAGCCCTTCTTGATTGTGTATCCCTCAACAACCGAAGAGGTGTCCCGGATCATGAAAATATGTCACGAACGATTAATTCCGGTTACTCCTTATTCTGGAGGAACAAGCTTGGAAGGTCATTTTACACCTACGCGAGGCGGTGTCTGCGTGGATTTCCAGCGCATGGCCAAGATACTGGCTTTGCACAAGGATGATTTGGATGTGGTAGTGCAGCCAGCTGTGGGTTGGGAGGACTTGAACGAGGAATTGGCCAAGGACGGCCTTTTCTTCCCTCCTGATCCCGGCCCTAGGGCACAAATTGGCGGGATGATAGGGACCGGTTGTTCGGGGACAAATGCATACCGTTACGGAACTATGAGGGAATGGGTTATCTCACTGACAGTCGTTCTTGCTGACGGTACAGTGATAAAGACCGGACAGCGCCCCCGCAAATCAAGTGCGGGATACGACCTTACGAAGCTTTTTATTGGCAGCGAAGGCACACTTGGACTGATTACAGAGGCAACCTTGAAACTGACAGTCAAACCCAAGAGCGAGAGCGTGGCAGTTGCTGCATTCCCCACAATTCATAATGCTGCTGAGTGCGTCACGAAGATTGTGGCAGAGGGCATTCCGGTTGCGGGTCTTGAAATCTTAGACGATGTCCAGATGAAGTGTATCAATGCGAGCAAAACTACAAGTCGAACGTGGGCGGAAGCTCCCACATTATTCCTCAAGTTCACTGGTACTCCACTGGGCGTCAAGGAGCAGATTGCACTTGTGAAGCAACTTGCGGCGTCAACTAAAAGCAAATCATTTGAATTTGCTCGAAATCAAATGGAAAAAGAGGAGCTTTGGAGTGCAAGAAAGGAGGCTCTGTGGAGCGTCATGGCCATGAAGAGGAACTCCACTGATCGCGTGTGGACAACAGATGTCGCTGTCCCCATCAGCCGGCTGCCAGATATCATCGAGCAGACCAAGAAGGATATTGTCAAGCACGGTTTGCTTGCGGGCATCTGCGGTCATGTTGGGGATGGAAACTTCCATGGTGAGATTTTTTCTCTATACACCTCTATTGATCCTCCATTTCGCCGTGAACATATTTCCTTAAAAAAAAAAAAAAAAATTGCTAAAAATCTACTTCCATAGCAATCATCCTATTTAACGATGCGGAGCGGGAAACCGTTGAAGGAGTCGTCCATCGGATGGTTAAGAGGGCCGTGGAGATGGAGGGAACTGTAACTGGTGAACATGGTGTAGGCCTCATCAAACGTGATTACCTTCCTCATGAGCTTGGTGAAACGACAGTGGATGCTATGCGAAGGGTGAGTTCCATTCCTGCTTGCTATTTTTTTCTTGTCGTCTTGCCTTATTTCAATGGCATGTGTAAACAGCCAAGTATATGCTCAATGAACAACGTTGCTAACACTTATCAATCAACCCCATCAGCTGAAACAAGCTTTCGATCCCCTATCACTGCTCAATGCCGACAAAGTTGTCCGGATAGAACCACCAGGAGTGGGAGACGTTAAGAAATGGTAATCTACCGCCACTTGATTGATGCGAATATTATTTTGATGAGGCTCTGTATGTCAAATACCATATAACATATTTAAATCATTTCCATGTAACCTTCCTCCACATCTCGACCCCTAGCCAACGTGCAGGTTGCCTAAATCCACTGAAACATATGAAACATCAACCGATTTATTCGTCTTCACTCTTTGAACATCTGTTAACATTTCCGATGAAAGAAATCTGCAAGTCCGATTTCGACAGCAAATGGAAAGCAAACCATGTATATATAGTTGGTGAATCTGCTCGCTTTTTGTCTATTCTTTTGTTCATATTCCAACGGAGCTTTTCTCACCAAGTATTTCTTCCTCCTTAGCCAGCCTGCAGCTGACATCCCCATTCCATTACAGATTACTGACAAATACACCTTCCAGAATACTTACTGCAGCGGCAGCGTTGGACCTTCCGTTTCTTCTGGGCTTGCGGACAGGAAACGGCAAGGAGGCGCAACATGTCCTCGAGACATCTGCGACTCTCTTATTTATCGCCTATATCAAGAACGCAATATCAGTGTCTTCAATTTTCGCATACTTTCGACGTCTTCTCCTTCGTTTTCATGATTTATATATTTTTCATTGCATCTGATATAAAACACTTCTTCTCACAAAACCGCCTAACGTGGACGAAGATGCACCCCTTGATAGCAGCCCACTGCGTGAGCTTCATGGGCTGGCTGAGAGATAGATTTGCCCCAGTTCTACCCAAAGAAATTCGCAAGTTGCTCCTTGAGCGGATCGAATTAGTTGACCAGGTGATGCAGGATCTGGTATGTTTAAACTCCCCTTCTCAATCCAATACCTCTCTTTGTTCGTTTCTTGGTACAGGGATGAATGTTGTTATCTTTGATATGGGATAGGGCCAGTATTCGAATTTGAAACTTCGTTAAAATCCAGCACTCATTCTTAGACTTACAATTTGTATTTCCATCTAGCTACCAGCGGAAAATTTAACAGTGGAAGAAGTCGTTGAAATGTTTCGGCTGGAATACGATCCGGATTTGAGCGTTTGGGATTTGGAGCCAGAGGATATGTGGGATGTGCCACTGTGCCTGGGTGAGGCTCCTCGTTCTTTAAATATATTGCGTCGATAGATTATGCTATTTTAGCTACCTGACTGAGAGTGGTTGGCCCCCCTAGATATACACTCAATAGTTATCTTCTGTATAGACATACACGATGGCTGTCCAAAACACCCAAACACGCATCCCTTCTAACCAAGAACAGGCTCTCTTCTTTCTGAACTCAACTACGTCTCTTCGGGGCGTAAAAGTGACGGACTTATCCGATGCCGCCTAAACCTCATCCTCATGACCTGTCTCGCAGCGGAGGAGCGACATTTCAATGGCCTGCCGCCGGATCTAACTCTTACGGGTTGTCACCACGAGCCACCTTCCCGACAATCGCCACCTAAATCGTTTGCGATACCGCCATTGAAATCTCATCAGGTTGACACGCCAGTGTGGGTCTCGAATAGACCTGAAACGGTGCGCTTGAGCATGGAGATACGCTTTATGGAAGAAGTGTATTACAATATGGGCGGGCGGTATCTCTATGGTTCAGCGGATTTTGCGTTGTGGTATGGACCTGTCACAGAGATGGCGACTAATCTGGTCGTTGTGGCTGTCGGTGGGGAGCGTACAGCAACTCAGGGAGAGGGGAAGTGTTTGGCAATTATGAGTAAGTTATCTAATTCTGTCCCGGAGAGTCTGAGTGCAATCCAGGTCCGTGTTTTGTTAATATAATTCTCTGTTCGGTCAGGTCTTATTCATCAGAAGAGAAAAGAGTATGGGAAGAAAATTTTCACCGTTTATGGATTATGTAGTGATGGCGTTGAGTTCAACTTTATCAGGTTGGATAGTGACTCCAAAGTTAGTAAAGATTATACATTATGTTATTACTTTCAGAATATCTTTTCCTTGTCTAATGGTATGGCCATGGAACGAACAAAAACAGTTGTCTAGAATCGGTCCTGCGCTTGACTGGAGCTGGGGAAGAGCGTCTGATATCGTGTCCCTCATTCGGTATATCATGCGCACGGCGATTCTGGCGGCACCAACTTCCACGCCGATGAGGAGTGATTGTTCTATGGGACTGGGGTAAGTAGATCTTTACTTGCCAACCTGATTGTGTGGATGCAAGGGCTTTCAAAGTGATGAATGGGTTAATGCATTCAGCATTTTGGATATTCGGAGATGGGACTTGAATCTGCAGAGGGTTTGGAATGAAGCCCACTTAATTAATTACTGTATCTCTTGACTTGGCGTGAATCATCCAACCACACACTCGATTATTGTTATTGAGTTTGAGAGAAAATCAATTTTTCGCTGTGTCACCATTTTGTTTTGTCTTCCTGTGTTAATTCGTGGATTTAATTTTTCCAATTCCCTCCAGCCCATCAGGTGCTATGATCTTATGGCGGGACAATTCTCCAGCTGCAGTAGCGCGCAGCCCAAACTGGCAACCCGACAAGAACAAACTTCCGCCTTTACAGGTGTAAGGAAAAAAACTGTCAGCCCTGGACTCATTTTAATTAGCCAAGATATTTAATTGGGCTTTCGACTCGTGACTCACAACACGTTAATGGACACCAAGGAATAAACCCGGAGGCCCAGACGTTAAAATACCTGATTTTTCAGTTAGCAGTTAACAGGGGATGGTAAGACCATTCTCCCTCTCTTCCCCACCACCTCTCCCCCTCTTGCTTTTATGTGATATATATTAGAACTCGAACTAGCTAATAGCTGTCGTCTCATCAGTTGTCCCGTCGGAACCTTCTGGGGTTCAGCAGGTTGACCACTTTCAACCACCCATTGTGCGCTGCGGACAGATATACAGCTTTCTTGATACATCCTTCCAACAGCTGCGTATCCTGTCTGTTGATGACTATATATCCAATTACGGAGCTCGTCAAATCTGGTCGATTAACTAAAACTCGGACAACGGATCAGCATCAGCATCGGTATTGACAATGGATGACAACGATCTTTCCCTTCCCAGAGAAGAGCTATCCGAGGCCGACATGACAGCCCCTGCTTTGGGCAAAAAAGTAAAAACCACCTCCGTGGACTCGAGTTTCCCAGTCATCCTACCGGAAGATCCATGCTTGCGTATGTCCCAGGAAGAATTCGAGGCAGCTATCCTCAAGACTCTTCCTAATTTCATCGGCATCGAAAGTGAAATGGGGGTTTTGGGTATCTTGGACGACGATGATAGTTCATTTCCCATGCCTTCTAGCGATAAAACCGGTGCAAATCGCAAAACGATCCAAACGACAAAGCCCTCAACAACGGGTAACACCTTTGTTGACGTCCTCAACCGCGCAGCTGTGAATCCCACTGGTGAACAAGCCGAGGCTACTGAGATGGCGAGGAGGAATCGTATGTTGACGGAAAATATGGGGATGGCGTATGCATCGACGCAGTCACCTATACTTGAACTGTTTAATAAGGTTGATCATAAGGGCAATTATTATGTAAATAATCAGCAGCCACTGGCTGAAACGCTCGAGGAAGCGTGGAAAGCTGACCCATTGATGACGTTGAAGGTTATTTGGATGGTGCGCAGCATTCATTTGGGGAAAGGGGACAAAGGGATGTTTTACAGGCAGCTGGGTTGGTTGAAGGAGAAGCATCCACGAACGCTTTTAGTGAATTTAAAGTGGCTTCATAGGGCTGTTATCAAAAAGGATGCGAAAAGGAGAGAGGGAGATGACCATGTTATTGTTGATAAAGTTAACATGGGGGGAGTGGAGGGAGAAAAGACGCAGTTGGAAGTCGATGATTTCGATGTTCTACATGGTGTGTCGCACGGTTATTGGAAGGATTTACTAAATATCCTTGTTCTATCATCACAGGAAAGGTTGGACATGAGTGATCCTGACGAGGTTCTGTTGAAGGATTGTCGTGTTCGCAAGGAACGATATGATTGCAGGGGGCAGAGGGGAAGTAGGTCCAGGACGCATCTACGGGGCGCAGTGAGAGGCAAAATCAGGGGCGGGGAGAGGGGTCGAAATCGATTGGCTAGGGAACAACCTACTCCGGCGCAACGACAGGAACGAAAGAAGTGCGCTGTGGAGCTCGTGAAGCAACAGAAAGCAGCATCCAAGGCGGAAAAGGCACGACGTCATGCACATATCCTTAATCGTTTGGCAGGAGACCCTTTCCACCGCGCTCTCCACCTAACCGTCGCGCGTCTCTTCGCTGATCAGCTGCGCAAGGACAAGCTGCTGCTTGAATCCGGAAACAAGGGTAACAAAGAATCACTCCGCGGACTCTCTTTATGCGCAAAATGGGCTCCTTCCCTCGAGCATTTTCACGACAAGCACACTCTTATCGCCACTACTATCGCAGAGCTCCTCTTCCCCTCGTCTGCCTTGGAAGATTACTCCCAACTTACCGATCCACCTTCTCGAGATACCTATCTCAAATACGCTCGCGAACACTACCGTGCAAAAATTTTGTCGCCTCTCCGCAAAGCCCTCTCTATTGTCGAGCGGGACATCTCTGCTCAAACCTTCTCAAACATCCAATATTCCCATGTCCCCTCTATAGCTATGAATAAATATAGAGAGCTCTTCTCCACCAAAGATTCCAACCGTTTCCATGCCTACCTACAAGATGTGGCACTGGGCAAAGCCACCATTTCTGGAGCCATACTAACACCTGGTTCGCTAATAAAACAAGTTTTGGGCCTTGTGAATCACACTGGTCAGGACGCGGTTACATATGCCACCGTTTTAGATCTGCAGTGGAAATCAATGGTGCAGCGCATAAAGGACTCTGGGACGCTTAGTAACTCCATGGCAGTGTGTGATGTTAGTGGCTCTATGAATGGTCCGGCTGATCGTCTGGGGATCTGTCCACTCGATCATTCTATCGGTCTCAGTCTTCTTATAGCTGAGGTGACGAAGCCGCCATTTGGCGGGCGGATTATCACTTTCTCGCAGAATCCACAGATACAGGTTGTGGGTGGGGAAGCAGATGGGAGGTCCTTGAAAGATAAAGTGCAATATATGCAGCGCGCTAATTGGGGTTGGAATACGGACTTTATCGAGGTGTTTCGACAGCTAATTTTGCCGTTGGCGGTGGAGAATAAGGTCCCACCAGAAGATATGGTGAAAAGGGTCTTTGTGTTTAGCGATATGCAGTTTGATCAGGCACAGGGTGATGGGATGCATGGCTTTATGACACCTGTCTTTGGGGTGCCGGGGTCGGTCCGTGAGGTTAATAGGTGGCAGACACATCACCAATTTGTGGAGATGGAGTTTCGAAAGCATGGGTATGAGGTGCCCGAGTTAGTGTATTGGAATCTCGCGGGTAGGGCTGGGGCGGTCCCTGTTACTCATGACATGAAGGGGGCGGCACTAGTGAGTGGTCAAAGTCAGGCATTGATGAAGGCGTTCTTGGATTGCGGGGTGTTTGAGGAAGAAGAGATGGAGGTGATGGAAGGGGACGGCCAGGGGGATGACGCGTTGGGAGAAATCCAGAAGAAAAAGACTAGAATTGACCCGCTAAAGATTGTTCGGAAAGCCGTTGGGCATGCGGGTTTTGATATGTTGAGAGTTGTGGACTGAGTTGAATCCCTCTCCGCCCCATGATGATTTCATGAATATGATAATATTACTGCCTATCCACATCCATGCAAGAACTACCAGTGAAGCCTAATCCCACAGCCAGTTCAGTCCTTGAAGATTGAATTTATCTTGGGATGAATATCGGTATTCAATTATAATTAAATGGTCTCTCTTTCCCCACTCCCCTTTCCGTCTCACTACTAATTTCCAACTGTTGAGATGAACCTTATTTTGTTGAAGATATAGGACTTCACGATCTCATTTGGAGGCATAGTTGATAAACAAACAGCTCACTGTAAACGGCAGCATCATTCAAAACAGAAAATTAATATGGCCACCTAAATCAACTAACAACACATCAGCATAAACTACCAGTTGAAGAAAGGTCCCTCGTATTCTGCTCAACCACTTAGCTACACTCAGCAAAGTATCGTAACTGTCCAAGCTCAGTTCCTAAACCGTGGATCTAAGAATCACGTCTATGGTGTTGCTGTTTCTGTCCGTGCCTTTTCCTACGACCATCATCACTCCCATTATCATCATCCTCATCTCCACTCCTATTCTTATACTTGCGACGGTATTTATCTTCATCGTCATCGTTGTCTCCCCTATGACGATGATCCCGTTCACGGCTACCATGACGGCGCTCATCACTGCCACAGTGCCCACTTTCATAGTGGCGTAGTTCCCTTTCGCGGGAGCCAGAGTGCTCACGTCGGCCGTACGGCTGAGAAGTCAAGGTTTCGCATTCCTGTCGATGACCGTAAGTGCGGGATTCTCCACCGCCATACCCACCACTCTCGCCGCCGTAAAACCCTCTGTAGTCTCGGGGCTCAGGTTCGTTATTCCCATCCCCATAGGTCTGAGGTTTGTTTTCGCCATAGTAGCCGCGATTCTCACCACCACCACCACCACCAGAACGCTCACCGTAACCACCGGAACGGCCCGTCCCGTAACTTTAAAAAGCAGGAAAACTCAAGTTAGTTGGAGAGGATGCACAAACAATCAGAGAACAGGTAAAGGGGGTGTCCCAACATACCTTTCTTCACCACGACCGTAGCTAGATGTTTCACCATATTGGGCCTGGCGATATCCACTACTCTGATACTCTTGGCGGCCGTCGTCGTCATAGCTCTTCGATTTGTATTTATCTTCTTTATGTTTTTTGTCCTTGTCAGCTTTCTTCTCTTTCTTTTCTTCCTTATAATCTTTATATTTCTTCTCCTTTTCTTTGTACTTCTTTCCTTCCTTTTCTTCCTTGTGCTTTGTCTCTTTCTTGTCATCATTGTCCTTTTTATCTTTCCTATCTTTCTTGTCATCCTTGTCTCCCTTCTCCTCCTTGTGCTTCTTTTTCTGTTTCTCATCTTCATCCTTTTTGTTATCCTTGCCTTGGCAATAATCATGTTGCTGTGGGTACTGAGGTGAGTGATAGTCTCTCCTCTCCTTTCGGCGCTTACCATCGTCCCGTTGATCTAACGTGCCAGTTGTAGCTCCACCAACTATTCCCCCGACTAAACTACCAATTAAACCTCCTCCAACAGCCTCAGAAGCCATTTTCTCAATTTCCGATGGCATCGATTGTTTTGAAGATTTCCCCGAAAAGCCTCCGAGGCCAAACAAATCCTGAGCACCACCTGGGACGAAGTGACTCCGGGTCGGGAGAGTCATAGGTTTGCCGCAACCATGCCCAGAGTCGTGGACTCCAGGCTTATGGTTATCGCCATTCCGGACACCTTCTCGGCTGAGCTGTCGACGAAGCGAATCCTGGCCACGACGTCCTTGTTCGTTCCACCAGCTCTCCACAATGCAAAACATAGTTAGACGCATGTCCTTCGCACCATCTTCCCCGTAATCACGTAGAGCTGGGTGATGAAGGACGCCGCTGATAATCCTATTCATTGTACGGTCAACATCAATGCTTTCGTCATCCCAGCACTCCATGATCTGCGGAACCACCCATCTCACAATTTCCGCAGCAGCCTCTAAAATTTAAAGACTCGTTAGCATGTACTCTCCAATAGTAATGGCGGGAATAGGGTAGCTTTTGCCAACGACAACTGAAACGAGGGTGGGGGTGGGGATTATTGGCAACAGCAAAAGAGAAGTCACTGACTTCCAGCTGGCTCATTTAGCAGGTTGCTGAAGTGGTCCTTAGATAGCATGGAGTGAGTTGGATCAGTACAGTAGTCATCATTGAAAGTGTTATACTGTTGGGCTTTGCTGCTCTGAATGACCTCTGATGAACCAGTCTGAAGTTCAAATTTGACCTGCTTGATAATCGGGAGAACGTAGGGAGCCAGTACGGAAAAGACGAAGACATTGAGTTGCTCCTGAACTTGCTCAACTATATCAGAGAGTCCCGGGATCGTCTCAATCGCTTTGTTGATGGACTTCATCAAATTGTCGTGCCATTCCAAGAGTGGGTAGACCTGTTGGTGAACGTCATTAAGGTAATTGACCCATTCCTCTGGTTCGCGAGGAGAAATGTTCTCGGTTCTTTTCTTATTAGACTGTGCATTGGACTTGAATTCATTCATTTTTGTGCCACTGTCATCGCCTCCGAAGAGGCCGTTAGGAATCTTATCGAGAAGGTTTTGGAGAAACCCTTCCTGCAGTTGTTCCTTTTCAGAATCTGCGATCACACCCTCCAAGCTTTGTATTTCGGATTGAGTCGCCTTATCAGAAATTTCTCCCATAACACTATGGAGGAAGTCCACTACAACATTGAGCGCTTGTCAGGGATGCAATTTTGCGACAACTCCACGATAGCTTGAAATCTGTTTACTCACCGCCACCAAATGTGCCCGTCACGATGGGATAAACTTTGTCTCTTGTCCCTTGAAGTTGAACCTTAGTGTTTCTGCCAACATGAGGGAAAATATCGGTCTCGCCAAGTTCGATCAGACTCAGCTCTGTATAGTTGCTATGGGCCATATAGTCTTCGAGGGTGTGCCTAATTACATTCCAAACCATCGATTAGACATACACATTATTTTACAGGAGGCACAAATAAAGGAATGTTAAGGCTGCAGTTGCAATAAAGTATCCAAGATCCAACCTCTACGACAGAGTAAGATCAAACTTACAGACCAGTTCCCATGAGCCTCAGGGCTTCATGCAAGTCGCTCTCGTTACGCGAGCGAGAATATTTGCGACCAAGTTCAATGCATCTACCAAATAACCTTCTCAGAAGTTGTGCAGAATTGTCGATACCTAGATCCTCAGTCGCGATGTAGTTCTTCAAGCCTGTTCACATACGTCGCTATCAGGTGCTAGAGCTTCAAGGATAGTTCACGGACCATTTCTTACCAGTACGAGGATCGATGCCCAGCTCCCTCTGTTCGTCGATAGGGCCTCTGAGTCGTCTATGATATCGACGTGGGTCCTCGCCCTCGCCATATCCCAATGGATTATCGATGTGCTCGGTAGGCTGGTAGCATCCAATGCGCTCAGTGGTTACTTCAAACTCGCCAGTGCCATACCTGAAGAACACTGTTTAGTATAAACCAAGAAATGTGCATTTCGCCAGTCCATTCAACAATAGGAGAGACAAAATGTTGAAGATCCAGAAGGACAATAACGTCAACAGGTAGCTAGGACACAACATACCCAAACGTCATAAATCCCAAAACCAAAAGCAGAATCCTAATTGCTTCAACAGAGACGTATTTCACCGTACCAATATCGATAGCCTGGCTATAGTCCTTCCGGGGAATTAACTTTCGTTTCCCAAACACAGTTAAAAGTTAAATGTAAACAAAATAAAATATTTACCCGGAGCCAATTCCCAAAATATATACGTTGGACATCTATTTTGGAGAATTTCTTCCCGCCAGCTGAACGGGCCATCATCAGAGTTAAGATCACATCTTCGATGTCACCATGGCGCCAATTCTGGCCCTCGATTTTGGATATAGAGGCGATGTTGCCGGCTCCGAAAGCGTGAGAGGGGCGGGCCAACAAGAGAAAAAGCAGACAGGTAGCGGCTACAGTGGTGGTGGTTGACCAAGCCATGGTTGCTGCTGAGTTGACAATGACCAGTTAGTTTCTACGTTTCCCACGCAGAGTGTGTAGGTTTCGTTAAGAAATTTGGCAATGCAATGGTTTGTTCCGTTGATGGTGCAGTTTTTGCTACACCGGAAGTCAATGGAAAAACAGCCCCGCTATCGCATAAAGGTCAAGACACTCGACAATGAAAGAGGCCCCTAGTCAATGGGAGTTAGAATATGACAGTGAATAAAAGAGATAATGGGCGAGTGTTATCGAGAGACAGAGGGAAAGATGGGAAAGTGAAGAAAAGTTGGGAAAAAACCTCGTTTTGATGTCAGTCTCTGAGGTGGTAGTGTAAGGAGTGTCGGGCGAAGGTGAAGGTGGGGCAAAAGTCTCACCCGGGTATAACTAAATATCAGCCAGCCAACCCTACTAACAACTATCCGAACCGCTGCGAGTTTTGGCCGGAAAACAAGAAATCGCACACGGACCAATTTTAGATCGCTAAGGGGATTTGTATCATCCAATCTGGAACAAGTTGGACATCAATCTTGATTCAAGGTTTACTTGAACATTAGTTCTATAAACCCCCCAGTGAAGCTCCCATGAACAGTGCATTTGGACACTCAGGGAACCTCTCCTTGCTTTTAGCACCAGAACCCCTCCGGGAGGATCTCAACGGAAAATTTCAAAAAAGCCCAAGTCCTGTAGTCCATGAACAGAACATCCTCTGTTCATCTCATGGCGAAACCCTGCATATGACGAAATGGAATCCTTCCAAGCCATGACGGAGGCCTGCCATTCATTCCCTTTTGCTGAGTCCATTATCTGGACATTGAAAACCATCCTTAGCTCCCGAATTTTCTGGTACAATTTGATGGAAGCATCTAGGATCTCTTGATAAATTGACTGACCTTACTTAGAAAGCAGCTAACAAGTTCAATTGCTGCCTCTATTTGCATGATCCCACAGCCACCTTAGCAACTCCATCAATCCCGCTCGTTCTCGATGGTATTCCTGACATGGCACCTATGCTCTCACTTCTTGGTCGCTGTGTTAGCTTATACTATAAACTTATAGTATAAGCTTTAATATACGTATTATCGTATCAATTCGCATGCATCTTGTTTAACAATGCATCAGTAATTCGACGCCCGAGCAGCGAGACACGTGAACCCACTTTTGAATTTCATAAATTGTCCCGGTGTATACAAATGAAAATAAACTGCCTTTGTAAATTGGGATATTATCATGGAGGCAGAAGGGATAAACAATAGGGACATGAGTTGAATGACATGGATAAACGTCTGCCAATGAAACTGCAAACCAACCAACCCAAACCGGAACGCCAATTTCCCATCCTAAAACTCCAGCGTATAAAAACACCAAGTTTAGCAAAACAACCATAGCACCATAGCAATGACAACCCTGCAAAAGCTTCATGCCCTCAAAGCATAAGTCCATCCAACCCCAACAAACCTCCAAAATAAATAAATATATATATATATATATATATATATATATATAAAATAAAATAAAAAATAATACATACCCATTAAATCAACCCCTCTCCAACAAGAACACAAATGTTGCCTTCCGCCCCTGAACATGCGTCAAATATGCATCCAGCTCATGATCCTCATCAATAACATATACAGACTCCCTCCCCGCGCTGTTTCCGTTCCTGTTCTGGTTCCCATTTCCATTCCCAACCTCTTTCTCCGTCCCCTCAATCCTTACAATGTTCACACCCTTAAGCCGACTCGTCACCATGCTTTGCAACTCCGCCAACGTCCTAGTCGTCAACTTATCCAGCCACGTCTTCGCATTATGGTAAACCTGTGACTGTGGATGGATGCGTAGGTAGACGGGAATGGGCATGAGGGCTGTGTCGAGCATTGGGTCAACGTATCCGAATGGATGTTCGCCTGTGGGGCTTTGGTTGTGGTCGTCAGGGTTGTGAGGGTTGTGCTGGTGATGGTGGTGTTGATTATTGTGGTCATGGTCATGACGGTGGTGGTTGGTTGGGTTGAGGGCGAAGGAGGTGTTGTTGGCGGCTTGGAGGAGGGAGGGATCTATTTGTAAGTCTGAAATATCGCCTGACATCATGCGGGTGCTGGCGAGGGCCTGTGAAGCGAGGGTGCTGATGCCGTTGGGGATGGCAGGAGAATTCGCAGAAGGCCGAGTGTAGCTCGAGGTGCCGCTGCTCTGAGCGCGTCCTGAGGGGTTATTATCGTTGGCGTTGTTAGATGTAGAAGATCGTTTACGGAAGGGATCTCGCTTCGACATCTCATCTCTAAGTCTCTTGTTCACGTCCCTGCAGAGAATCTCAAGAGCCTTAACCTTCACGGAGTGATTGGGATCCATTTCACCGGGACCCAGGATCTTCTGGAGCAACTCTGAGCCCTGTATCCATTTCTCCTTAAGCTCGCTCCAATGTTCATCACCAGCCTCTAGCTTGCTCGTAAAATGATCCACTTTTAGAGTCTGATAAAATGCATCGCGTATCTGTCTGCTCTCCTCCGGATTGATTCCCAACGCATTTTTAGCGTCTGCAATTGTCATTCTCCGCTGTAACGTCCGCATCCGCTTTGTGACATCCGTACACACCACATCTAACGCCAACGCCTTCGCCTCCATCTGACCAGAATTCGACCAGAACACCATCTGAAGATGCGAAGACTCATGAATTAATCGATCCTTGGCCGCCTGCCACTTCTCCGGCCCCGCAACGGTCTTCTTAATAAACCCCGCCTCTTCACAGATATGCTGGAAATGATCCCGCAACTCTCGATACATGTCATTATCCAAGCTCAGATACTGCTTGCTCTCATCAAGAGTTGTCTCTGAAGGAAACCGAGGTGGGCCTGGGGGATCTGCAGGCAGCCCACCCCACCCTCTTGTCCTTCGCCGTCGTTTCCGTGCCGCCCATCTCTCCTCACTTTCCGCCTGCAGCCGCTCCATTCTCTCTTTCCGCTTCGCCAGTATCTCCGGAGATAACGCAGGTGATGGAGGACGCTGTTGAGTCGCTGCCTGCAGATCCGCAGCGAATTGTTGCTCTGAAGAATCTAAACTTCCATCCGGCTTATATGCCTCTTGCTGGAGTGCCAGGAGACTCTCATCACTACCCAATTGACCTGGCATCGCTGCCGTAGTGGGCCCCGCCGCAGAGGTGATTGCTGTGGTCACTTTCGGTTTCGCCCTCACCCCATTAGGGACGCGCAGAAGCCATCGATTCTTGGCGCGCACGCGCATAAGCTCACGTTCTTTAATTTCATATCCTTCTTCGTTGAGTATCCGGAGCATGTCGCGTTGGCTAGTATTCCGTTCCCAGAGTTCCTTTATGCGCGCCACGAGGCCTTCATTTTTGTGTGCCGGGTTTTGCTTCGATGGGAACCCCCATCGTTTGAATTGGGTTTGAAAGGCGCGTTTGCTAACAAGCAGCCAAAATATCCATATTAAAGACCGTATTAGTACCCCAGTAATTGAAAGGAAAATGCAAAAATGAGTTAATATACAGCCAAGTATGTATAGTAATGACGACACAAATTAAAGAGACAAAGCAGAGCAAGATGTTGCAAATCAACATGCAGTTATTAAGAAATTCTCACGTAGATGCACTTACCTTGGGGCAAACTGATAACACACCTTCATATACTCCATAATCTCCTCAAGAGCTTTCTTATCCTCAATATACATCTTGTAGCAGATGTCGCGTTTGCCATCCCAATCATAAACCATCTTCTTTTTCTCCTTGTTTGCCCGTGTCTCCCGGATTCCCTGTTTACTTTCTAAGGGGACTGTCGGGATTTTCGCCGCTTCACTCCCCGCGTGCGGGCGAGTTGTTCGCTGCGGGCGTAGGAATTACTTCTCTTTACCTGGATTAGTTATAGCTCCGGGGATGGTGTGGGTTAAACGGGTCCTAGAGCGCGATGATCTTGTCGTTGCGGTCTTCCGTAGGATCGAAGAGCAATGTGTATGTAGGTTTCGGTGGTTGCGATCTACCGTAGCGCGAGGATCACGTTGTGGGAACCATCTTGATTACATAAGAACGATATATGCCAAGCTTCGTTTCTGGGGAATTAGAGCTAGCTCGATTTTAGAATTGCCGAGGCTTGACACTCTTGGCAGGGACGTCGATGCAGTGGTTATCAAATTTCTTTATCGACGAGTTTGGTTTTAAAATGAGACCTAACATTCCGCTTTCAGAAATCCAAGATTTTTTGATCAGCTAGGTACATGAACGAAGGAAAGTTTGTTGCCCGCCAACATACTGCTGAAGAGCCTTCCAACAGGGCCCGTGCAAATTTGCTGGTCTGATGTCTGGCAAGGCATGATGTTGCTACTCTGTATTCCATGATCGAATGAACGCCAAAAGTAATGATGATGATGATGATGATGGCGATGATGTAACGATAGAAAAAACCATGACGTAGCCTAAAAGAAAAGAAAAGCCCATGGTATCTGTAACAAAGTCCCAAGAGAAAAATATAACCCCAATAGAAAAGGAAAGACGAGCCTGTCCTTGCAGGCACGAGGAAAATATCTCTAACACCTAAATAAAGAACGCCATTCCAATATCCATATATAGCTGCACACACTAAACCTTGGCCCGTTCTGCGGGGGAAAGGAGGCAATATAGATGTGTGTATATAGTAGCCGTTGCTCTTGTCGCTGATCCCGCCGAAATTTGCAATATAGGAACGGGGAAAAAAAGGTAAAATTATAAATAGACAAAACTCCACCCGCTCCAAGGTGCCAAAAATGAATGCGTGACGCTTAACAATCCGTATAGGAGACACAAAATCAATTCTATCAAGTCTTCTTCTTCCTGCTAAATTTTCTGCTCATTTTGAATAGTTTTGTCCTCAGCCAAGTAACGAATAAAACCCATGTGCTTTTTGGGCTCTCGAATTTATGACTGATATTGGCCTGCGGAAAGCCGGTGCCAGACTTCTCGGTCTTCTCATTCATAGACCTACGACCAGAACCATTGGCTTCCGACGATTTTCGATTCTCATTAAACCATGTACCCGTAGAAGAGGTGGTGAATGGTGGTTGAAAGTGATGTTCTCTCTTCTCCTGCCGGCGTAGTTCACGATCCTGGGCTTTCATATTTTGCTTCTCTAACTTGCGCAGTTTGGCAGCCTCTTTATCTTCAAATGCTTGTCGGGCAGCCTGGACTGCAGCAGCTCTAGCGGCTGGATCTGTGTTCGTGCGGGTCCTTGAACGAAAAGCGAAATCAAGGGAGCTTCTGGAAAGCGGCGACACGGTTTCATAGCTATCAAAAGTATGACTTGGCGGTGTTGGAGAAACGATGTTTGTCAATGAGCTTCCCGGGGCTAGATACAGTTGAGGTTCGATATTTAGGTCAGATAAAACCGGAGCAAAGACCTCTCGGGAGAAAGATATCCCGTTATCAAAATCAGTACCGAACCTACTGGCCTCTACTGAGTCGTCATGGTCGCTCTCAATAACAGAATTTTGATAAGAATGACAAATAGGTGGAGTATGAGGTCGAGGGGTCTGGCGCATTGGGTGGACATATTGGGAGCCAGGTTTATGCAGAGATGACCCAGTTGTGGCCGAAAATTGAGATGTCCCACTTGTAGATCTATGGTGGGAGGCGGGCCCAGTTCGACGGGAAGTGGCCGTGTCACTATATCGCCGGTCCCGTTCGAGGTTTGTATATATTCCCAATCCTTCGTTTTCAAGGACGGATCGATCTAGATCGATGGAGGTCGAGTCATTCTGCATCGATCGTTTGAGATGCGATCTGATGTTGCCCTTGTGTTTTGTCGATTTTATTTTGTTAACCTTCGGCGTGTACGCAGGAATAAATCGATCATTTCGCGGCCCACGTTGTATTAGGTTTGGAGAGGCGTGCATCCAAGTTGGTTTCGGTGCTGGTTGCAAAGCCAAAATGGCATCGTTGGTTACAAAGGCTGAGCGTCTATCGTTCGCAGCGGAGACGGGTTGTGGGTCTTCCAAACCGTCGAGACGAGAGGGGGAACTTGCTGAGTGGGGAGAGGAGCGGTTAGGTCGCCGTGTACTTACAAAACGCGTGGCCCTCACTGCAGCTCGAGCGTCTTCGTGGTATCCAAAATGCTGCTGGTGGTGATGATGGCTCACAGAGGCCTTTTTCAGCCCAGGAGAAGACATTTTTGCGGATTCTAAAAAAATTTCTTAAAAGAAATAGATTGAAGAAAGGTTACCCTTCCTATATATGCTTTAGAGATGGCTGTCAAAGATGCATCAAACTCAAGCAGCATATACCCGGACAGGCGTTTTTAAGAAGTGCGTTGCTTTTAGGGTTATTGTCAGTGATAAGACACCCAGTGCCGTTGTGGTCCCCGTGGAGACTATGGGCAACTTTATCCAAAATTTCCAAAGAGACCGTCTGCAAAATCGTTGAGGACCGTTCCGGATAGCAAAGGAATCACGGGCTTTAAAGGATATGTTATTTGGGTTGTTGTTGACCGGTAGACTTTCAACAAACGCGGTCGTATAAATGCTCAAAGTTCACAAGAGCAAAAAAAAAAATTGAAAAAGAAAAAGAAAAAAAGGTAGAGGCACCAAAGTCATGCTGTTGGTGATCGTGATAAAACATACATACACGGACGGAAAAGACGGAGGCAAAGTGACGGAGGGGCCACCAATTCCACGTCCAGCTGGGGTGGTTGAGCAGAGTGCTGGAGGAGGACGACAGCGTTGTCGCGGACGGTTTGTTGGGAGAATAATAATGATGATGAGAAGTTGGCAAACCGGGGTTGGCGGTGGTGGAAGCGATTACTGACTATTACTGGTCAGCCGTTGACGACGAGCCCATGGATTATTGAGGCGCATTCCGGGAAGAGGAAAGCAACTGGTGGGCGCTGGCTAGGCTGGTACGGTACGAGCAATACGCCAGATCTGGACGTGTATCGACGCCTCTGCGGGGGGCTGGCCGGTAATCTGGTACCGGCGGAAGGCGATGCGCACTCTAGTGGCTTGGCTTTCTTGGCAGGTTGATTACTCTGTGATTAGCTCAGCGGGGCGGGCGTATAACAAACTGCTAAGGCCCGGACCCTAATCACGTGCCTCCCCATAAATTTAGTTTAGATTTCAGCTGGCTAGTTCAATACAACCTCTCTGAAAAGCTGAGAATAATGGTGCTGATAATGACTCTATGTATTGTTTACATGTGTCTGAATGTTCTTGTGATACTTTGAAATAATCAATTTTGAATTAAGTAGAATATTTAATCTATCAAAGAAATATATAACAAATAAAAGAGAACAAACTCAACAAATATCTGAAAGTCAGATATAAAATAGAGGATTCTTATCAATATTTATATAATTTGCAAATAAAATAAATCAATAATAAACTTTAAAATAACCTAGTTAAAGATGACATGTGAAATGATAAGAGTAATTATAATAACAATGAAAAACTAATAAAAAATTAAAGATCATATATCATTAGTATAAAATTGAATAGATAAGAGTTAGTAAAAATATGAATTCTTTATTGAAAAAGTCAATATAAATCTAATAAATTTATTTCACTTGAAAAAATATCAATTATAGCAAAGATTATCAGTAAATTTAAAGATAGAAAAAAATTTTATCAAAATTTCTATTATATTAACTAACTCTATAATTTATTCAATATAAAAAAAAAATCCTCATAGCAAAATAAATTGAAAGTGATAACATATAAAATGAAAAGCAGAAGTTCTATGATGAAATCCTCAATACAAATATGCCCCTGTTGGTCGAATGGTTGAGGTGTTTGAATGACATGTAACGTGAGAAATCAAAAGCCGTGAGTTCAAATCCTATAGAAGAAATCTAAAATCTGATGAAATACTATCTGGCGCGCGTTATCTAGCTATGGGCCTACCCCACATATAACTTGCCACTATTCCTAAGCTGGAAACCATATAATGTCATCTGTAAATGTACAGTTACAAAATTCAAATTATTTTAACTAAATTTAATTTAAATCATTTAGTTATATTTAACCATGTCTAATTAAATTAAATTAAATATACTAAAATTAAAATAGAAAAGCTTTTCAATGTTTAAATGTATTATAATTACTGTATGAGTGTAGAGCTTATGAGTATATATAAACTAAAAATATGAAATCTTGAAATATTAAATAATAGACTGTTCAGAAGATAGAACAATAAAATTTTAAACTATTTAAATTTTTTTGGTATTGAACACTGAATATATTTTTTATATTTTTACTTTTTTTATTTGTAACAATGATAATTTTAATATTATGTTTTAAAATAAAAATAATGCTCTTTATAATTATAAATCTTAATTAAAATTTTTTATTATATAAAATAAAAATTTTAAATCTGTATTTTATAAAATGTTTGATTTTTTTCATCTCTTATAAATCTGATAAATTATTTAGTATTTGTAAAACTCAGAATAATATAAAGTTATTAAATTAATTATTTAAAAAATAAAAGTTTGAAATAAAATATTTTACTATTAAATAACTCAATCTAAATTAAATATAATTTTATTAGTAGTTAATAAAGTTACTTTAAATATTATAAGATTTAATTATCTTTATTTATATTACAAAATAAGTAATATTTAAAAATTTAAACTTTTGTAATAGTATTGACTTAAACTATATTTATTTTTCAACTAGATTTTTATATATATATTTTAAAACTATAAAAAATTTTACATGCAAAAATTATTATAAATGTAATAAATATTCTGACATATAAAGTAAATGTTCTTATTTTTATTATAAATGTAGTTAAATATAAAAGTATTACAATTAACATTTTGTTTTTTTGAATTTATAAAAAACATATAAAATTTTATAATAAAAATGAATAGATAAATTATATCTTTATTAAATATTGATTGAGATAGTTATAGATTATATTAATATAAATTTTATAATTAATTACTTATATTTTTGTATTTAAATTTTCTTTATTATATAAGTATTGTTAACATAACTATAACTAGTTAAAGTTTTGATATAATTAATATAATTAATTTGTATAATTATATATTCAACTTAATCTTTATATAGTCATTATAGTTATTGATTATATATATATTCAAATAATAATAATAATAATAATAATAATAATAAATAGAAAATCTGCTATTATTTAAGTAAATTAATTTGAATTGTATAATAATATATAATAGATTTTATTTTATAATATTTATAGAATTAAATTTTAACTATCAATTCAATTATAATAATTGAATTATCATTGTTAATAAAGTTATATATAAATTAATGCAATAAAAAAATATACTATAAGTGTGAATCTACTAATAAAAAAAGATAATATATATATATAACCACTGATAAATAATAAAATTATAAATTTTATAAAAATTAATTTATTAATAAAAAACTTTTATTATAATAAAATATACAGTTATATTCTTTGTGATCTAGTTGAGAAGAATAAAATAAAGCTACTGTATATAGACTCTAAAGTAAGTAAATAAAATAATTATATAAAGTCTCTAGTAAAGCTTACATTTATTGATTTTGTTATGAAAATTGGAATTAATAAACGTAATTTTAATTAAATATTTTTGTACTTGCTCTGAATTTTACTACGTTTTGTACAGACATCTTCCCTATTCTGGAAATCAGTGTCTGATTGTTGTAGCTAATTTTTATTACAGATTTAAATGATTTGAGCTGAGATAATTAATAAGGCGCGGTGGAAGAGCTTAGTGGGCGAATCACGCATTTGTCGGTAACGACCTCAGCTCCTGCAGAACGCGATCTCAAATCATCATCGACTTGCAACAACTTACGACATAAAGCTTCATCAGTAATAGCTGAGTTGTGTATGTATGCAAAGGCGGTTTTGGTAACAGTGAGGCTTTGGAGGTCAATAGATCCGGAAATCAGCATGACAGCATTCGCCACCATAAATTCTCCCCCGGTCAAACGCGACGAAGCAAACCCTGGAACCTAACTATGGCTTTGCCGTATATTGTTTCAGACCCCGCCTTTCTCCCACATACATTTTCCAACTTCAAGGGCAAAAGCGCTGAAACAAGCAACAAAATAGCCAACATTACATTACCTCTCTATAATGTTGTCGTTGCAACCCGATATTTTTGTGGGACTAAAACAGCACAAGTAACTGTGGAGTATCTATGGATGGTGACAGCAAAACACCCATCAATTAGCATTGGTCAAAAACGGTTTGGCTTCAATGACAATCGCCTGTCAGAGATGTCTCGGATGTTACTAATACCACAAAATTTAATATTAATTTATCTTCAAGTTTTTCTAAGGGGCTGGGTAACTACTATCGCTCCCTTGTCAAAAACATCACGGCTAAGAAGCACCGCCAAATCGAGTGCAGGACAGCCTGTCATTCTTCCAGGAGAAGTGAACAAGCCACTGAGATGGATCGGGCTAAACACCCACGACAGCGACACCGGATTGCCAGACTCGCCCCCATTGCTCAGCGCCTAATGTCCTCTTCTCTTTTATGCATGGATTGAAATCAGCCTTAGCCAACCGATCCAAAGACAGATGCCGATTGACCCCACAACAGGCATGTTTTGTCGAGGTGGCAAGAATTCATTTTTGGTTTAAGCGAGAAAACAAAAGGGATCACAGCCACACGCACGCTTTTGCTAAGTCCTCATATGCCCACAAAGGCAAACGGCAATGCGGGCCATGCATACGTGATTGGAGACATGGAATGCGATTCATGTATGGATACGTAATGTATATGTGAACGCACAGTACCTGCACACATTGGGCCCAGTAAACAAATCCTTATAACTTCGCTACCTGCAATTTGTTGATAGAGCAAGCCCAGCCTCGGATCCAAGCACCTCGCTCCTGGTATGGATCCCTCAGCCAGAATACCAGAGCTTCGGCATACATAGATATCCAAAAAGAATCCGAGACATATTTCAGCCTCCAAATTTACCATCAATTATTTTAGTTTATATTTTTCTCGCTTCCGTACTTTATCAGCCTCCAGTGTATTATCCTTATTGTTATCTTACCGCACTACATAACTTATAAAACCTCACCCTCGTGCACCCCACATATATTTATATCAATATTACCCTTTGACTCAACCCCTCTTTTACTCATGGTCGCCTTTTGCCGCATGACACGTCTGTCAGCGGAGCTGCCGCGGGGATCCAGGGAAGGCGGGGATTGTTGCATCCATGTGTTCCATCTCTCCGGTTAGACACACATGACGTACGTACTGACACATCGCCAAGGACGTTTGAGGATTCGATTTTAATAGGTATATGTGCTAACCCCTACAGTTCTTTCTATGGGTGAGCTGTTGATAGGGATCTTTGTCTGGCAGAACACGACATGCAGTTCAACTGTAACTTTCTGTAGATAAGGTAGTCTAGGCTCTGTCAAATATATTGTTGATAAGGTGCTGGAAAGTCAATATAAATTCGTGATGTTCTTTAGTCTAGATTTCATCCACGAGGATTAATTAGATAGACGGTTCATTAATTACAAAATGAGTGTCCTTGCTCTGAGTGCCCCTGCTCAGAACAGCGTTAAAGATTATGTATTAGTTACTGTCAGCATGTGATTTTAAGTTCTGATAATATTTGTCTGTGTCTCAAAATTTCAGTGTATATTATCATTGAAGCAACTTAAAAAACTGTTACTCTAATTGTTCCATCAACTGTTTCCTTTCTCGCTTTCCCACTTCTCATCTACCACTGCGATTACGATTCAAATAAGTGGCCTTGATGAAGAAGTCTTGTAGCTTCTAGTTTTCCCAATGTGTCAGCTATATCTATTCTGACGACACAGTCCTTCGCCTAACAGCTAGAATATATGAATCGATACAGAATATAATGATGCACTAGATAGCATTTGATAGCATTTTTAACCTACACAGTAGAATTTATTACTTATACATTTCAAGGAAGCTGTTTTAAAATGAAAACCTAAATACAGACATTTGAGTATCAATGTTAAATTCAGACGCATCCACATAGCTAAATTCTCTCTTAAACACATGTTGCTGAGGCAGTCACCCCCACTGCATGTAAGTAAACAGACTGTATAATGATGAAATAAAAGAAGAGATTTTAACTTATATTATTAAAATTCTTTACAAATATAAAAATCCTTTAAAAAAACTGATATTTTTTATAAAAATCAATATCAATTACTTAAAAAATATATTTATATATTAAAGAAAAATATTAAAATATTTATATAAAAATTTTATATAGATAAATATTATAATTTTATATTGAATAAATATATATAATAATTAAAAAAATTTAATTTGAAATATATATTTTTTTATAAAATTATATACTTTTTTTTAAAAAAATAATTAATTATACTACTATACAATTTACGTTTCATATGAATGTATTACATCAAAATAATAAAAACATCAAAATGATAAAAATCTTAAATCACATTCTTATTATTGCACTTTATATCAATAATTAGTAGCTAATATATAATAAAAAGATTATTTACATCATTCTCAGTATGTGTGTCATCTTCAAATCAATTTAATTTCTCTTCTATCAGTGATGTAAATAAATTATTATTAATTTTCATAAAATTAATTTCAAATTTTTATTGTTTTTTATTCTGCTCTTTTTCATCTTCATTATTCTTATAGTGTTTGATTTTTCTATTGATATCTTTAAAAATAAAAACTTTCTCTACTTGAATTTAATGACAGATTATTTTAGCTCTACAGTATTTACTAATATTGAGAAAGTTCTTTAATTCAGTAATTTATTACTCATTAAGTTCTGTATGAATTAGAGTTACTTTGAATATCTTGTTTAAATAATATATCAAAATGAGTGATTTTAATTCAAAAGTATTTTTAATATTTTATATAGTATTTTTTATAATATTAATATAGTATTTTAGCTTTTAAATTATTTTTGATGAGAATAGCTGAGAAAAAGAGATAGATATATGATCTGAATTATTCTCATCTTTATAAATATGTAGTGAAGGAGGTAATGAAATTCACTATTTATTAGTATCAAGAACTTGATTAGAATTTCATGAATATATACTATATTGAGCTTATTTTACAGCTATTATATCAGATTTAAAGATCTGCTTTTATATAGCTAAGAGATTTTATAGAAACTGCTGTTTTCCATACTTAATAAGATTATGATATAGAATATAGTTAACTACTTTTGAATAATAATATTTATATTACTGAAATAATAAACTATTCAGAAATTGAAGCAAATGAATGACATATGATAAAAATTTATATAGAATTATCTTATAAAGATCTATATATTATATGAACTTCTCAGTGATATAAAATTCAGAATTATTCATTAAAAATAATTGATAATATTTTTTCTATCTCTTTTCTGTAACAATATTAAAATATTTAATTTATTTAAATTTAATCTCATTATTTATAAATTTAATATCTGATATAGTAATTCTATAATTGCTAAGTAAATCTATCTATGTATGTCAATTCTTCAAATATATTTTGAAGATTAAAATTATTAATAATAAAATGATATAATTATTCATGAATACACATTCAATGACTGTAATCAAATTTTTTGAAACGGATGAAAAGATGATAAAGTTAACTTCTTTAAAAGTAATTATAACTCATTTTTCACATTCTTATCCTTCTTGAAATTTAATCTCATCAAAGTTATATATATCATAAGTATAAAATTGATACTGCTCAAATAAAATCTAAAGATATTTAAATTATATATTAGTATATTTAATATTTTCAATAGCTATTCTCTTTGAATTCATTAACTTCTGTTTCACTTTCTTATACTCAAATAAATATTTAATAAATCTATAAGTTTATATCTTATTGACTTTTGAAGAGAAGATAGTAGAATCTATGTGTTGATATCTAAGTATTGAATTTGTAAAATCTTTAATATGTTCAGCTATGAGAGAATAATTTTTTTTCATCAAGTAACTTGATTTATTATTTAATCATATTCTTCTAACTTTTAGTTAATCTCTTGTTAATTGAAATCTTTATAGTATTTAGATTTTTTTATTAATACACACTCTGAGATATTGATAAGAAATTTTAAATTCTTATGACGGAGACAGTATTTTAAAATTTAGGTTTTTTTGATGATAAGTAACTATTATAACTTTAATATATATGTAAATAAACAGGTATTTAATTGCTAACTATATAAGCTATCTGAGTAAATACTAAGATGATTTCTAAAAGATGAGTTCAGAGAAGATTCTATTTATATAGTTCTTTTCTTAGTATTTTTCTTAGCACAGTTGTCATGTGATTGCTACATTTACATGTTATTCATGTGTGAGGTAATTGTAGGGTTAATTGCTATACTAATACCTAGGCAGTTTATAATTACTATGTTCAAATAGTTGCAATTATCATTCACTTTAATTTTATATTATTGAGAAGGCTATAAATCTTATTCTACACTACCACATTACTCTCCTTTGAAGTCTAGATATACTCTCATATTGATAGATTATTATTCACTTCATCTGCTAGATAGTCATCTTTTTTTCAAACCTTCAGTCATTTATTCAATCACTTTAAGAGCTTTAATTTTATTGAATTTACAGTATCAAATTCTCAAATCAAATGTAGAGATCTTTTTAGATTTTGTACTGAATATCATGTTGAATTATCATCAAATTCTAGTCATTTTACCTAGTATTGAAGCTTCTTATAGGAGACTCAGCTTGCTAGAACATTCTCAACTTCTCAATTATTTTCATTCTTTATCTTAATCAGTTCTAATATCTTATTTAATTATCTTAGTAAAGAGTCATTCATAACTTTCTATAATTTATCAGAGGAGAATATTAAGTAAATCTTTATACTGTTTAGTAGTCTTAGTTTATAGCTGTTATTCACTATCTCAATGATATTAAAGAAGTCTTTATTTTACTTCATGAGCTTTCTGCTAAACTGTTGAGTTCTATAGTTCTTAAGTGACAAGAAGATCTTATTTTATATCTTAAAGTTTAACTTTTAGCAGTGCTTATTGATCTATAATTTTATAATTTCTTTTATTTTTTTCACATTATTTACTGATAGATTTCAGATTATCTTCATTTGAATGATATGCTATTTGATAAATTTTTGTTTAAGCTTTTCTCCTCTAAGTAGTGTTTTTGACAGTAGCTTTTAATCAAAGAACATTCAAGATTCATATTTATAAGTAGTTTGAAAGGGTATTATCTTAGTTAATTTATTCATCAGGTCTTCAGCTGTGTAATTTATCATTAACAATTACTCATTTCAATTATTCTAATAATAGTTTACATATGAACAGAGCTTGATTATCAGATATTGATTAACAATCTCAATCTGACTATTTATTTATGCAAGATGAGCTGATGATAGCTTTAGTTTAACTCTCAATCATCTGATGAACTCCCTTCAAAAGTCTGAGATAAATTGTGATTCATAGTCTAATGCAATTGAATCTGATGCTTCATAA